TCTCCCGTCAGATTAGACTTCACTCGCGTTTATGTCCATATCGATCAGATCCAGCTAGTTCTAGCTAATGATATGACTACCTGCTTATTAAAAGACACCTAAACAATAAGTGTCGCTATGCAACTGGGTGAGGCCATAAAGTATAGTGCATTTGTTTACATGCCCACCGGAACTCCGAGGCATTACCAACAGATCAACGCACAATCAACCCATACAGGACATCTCTTTCTCCACATTAAGTGTTCGACATTAGAATTGACTATTCTTGTCTGTCTTGTCTTAAGTGGCGCAACTGAAGCGGTATTGCGCTAAAGGGAAATTATTTTGACCGGACATTTTGACCGAAGAGATTTAGATTTGCCGGCTAACGGGAACTCTGACGTCGCCATTTTGTGTGCTTCGCGGATGCGCTCGGCTCCTCTCGACTGCTGCTCGGGTCTGCTCGGTCAGCTTCCGGATGAGAAGGCATTCGTTCGACCAACTTACAGTAGATAACATTACAAACATTTTTAACAGGGGCCATACTAGTGTAAATAATGTTTGTTTGGCAGTTATAACTGAATGTAATGTTTTCTACTTTTTTACATCTGGGAAGGCATTTGCCTTCATCAGATGGAAAGTGTCTTGACCAACAACTTAAGTATTTATTAGGGCATGCAAGCGAGCAAACACAAACAAGAACAAACAAACAAGTGAAATGAAGAATACAATTGAAATTGTACAATACAATATTGTGGTGGTTCATCTTATAATTCAGTCTAGAGAATGCACCAGACAGCATCTAAGACCTGCACACATCTAAATGTTCTAGGAGGAGGCCCCCCCAAACCCTTCGTGCTTCATTACTTCCGTGCGCATTTTTCAGGGCAATCTCTATTGGGCTCAGGGCCATCTGTAAATTAGCTTAGATGGCCCACAGGGCCATCTCCCAAAATCCTTAATGTCAGGCACTGGTGTTGCTACAAAAGTATAAATGAGGCTTACTAATAAGACAACTCAGATCTGAAGCTACACAGGAATCTGCTGCCAAAGTGCAATAAAAAAGACAACATTAATAGAATCAAACCCTTTTTTTGTTGCATTTTAGTAGAGTATAAAAATAAATGCCTTTAAAATAGGATGCAAGCAACACTAGTTTCTTAACCTGAATTGATAATAGACTATAATCAATTTAAGTTTGCATTCTTATACCATTTTGTAAAATAATTATAATGAATAAGTTCAAACAAATTAAAACTTACAGCTGATTAATAACGGTATCTAACTTGAGTTTTTATTATATCAAAAACCTGAAATGCTACTGTTATTTGTACTGTCCCCAAAAAGCGCATCGGCAGCCTCCAGGAATGCTTCTTTCACAACTTCGCAGTCTTTGAAAGACTTCATGTGTTTCGCAAGAACGTGACTGACACGATAAGATGCTATGGGAGCAGCCTTGCTCTTGTTGTTGGGCCTGGTGAAAATGGACTGCTGTGCATTTAGCTGTCCTTTCAGGCCCCTCCCCTTTTGGAGCGTAGGGCAGAATTAGGAGGGAATTCCGTCTCGTAGCGTTTGTGCACTGTTTTGAAATGCCGCTCCTAAATTACCCTTCTTCGATAAAGCCACGCTCGCATTGCAGATGAGACAGATGGACTTTGAATTGGAATAGATACAAAAATAATCATCCTCCCACTCGGAGTGAAATTATATATTTTGGGCTTTTTTGCTTCTGCCATAATTGCGGTCTTGTGTGTGTGCGGACTGTCACTCCTGTTGACACGGACAACGTCAGCGAACTATTGCCCACTGCCCACCAGCCACGCCCCGACACATGGGGTCACGCCAATCACAAAGCTTTGATGAGTTCAAGTGCATTATTCTGGCACAGGAACATTATGTTATAGGACATTAACGATAAAACAGAATATTGTTGTTGTCTATTTTTAGACACATCTCGCGATCGACTGGGAATCTCCCCGCGATCGACCGGTCGATCGACTGGTTGGGCACCCCTGCTTTATAGTATATGCTTCACTTATTCATTTTTAAATACTGTTACTGGTGCCGGATATGCATTTTGTAAATTGTAATTGTGTAATTTCAATTTTTATCTTTAATATTTTATGCATGACCCTAAATTAATATTAATCTAATTTTGGCTCTTAACTTTTGCTGTATCAATGAAAATTCTATGTAATGCCAATGAAGATGTGGCAGTCGGCATTAGCCTGAATCCATACAAGTCTGTAAACCCTGGGCAAAGTTTAATACCGTTTTAAGTTAAGTCACCTTATTCAAAATTAATCAACCACTACATCGTATATATAACTGATATAACTGCTCTGGTAAAACAACTCTCATTACTTAACACTATAGCAAAGATGGTAACAAGATGTTGTGTCAATCATTTTTTGATTTTTTTTAAATGCTTGTAAAACACTTAAAAAAATTAACTGCTGACGAGTGTCGTTTAAATGACCTGGTTTTGTTCAATACTATACATTAGGGGATTTGTATTTTATTCTAATTTGCACTGCTTGTTGGTAAGGTTTCAATTCAATTCAAAACCTTTATTTATCCAGGTAAAATCCCATTGAGATCAATGATCTCTTTTTCAAGGGAGACCTGCAGCAGTAGGTTCCACAAGAAGACATAAAAACAGTTTTGTTTATTGCCTCTATCTTTTGGTTTTTCTGCATCAAACATTTAAGAATACAAATAATAAAATAGATTATTAGATTATATATATATATATTAACATAGATTATATTTACAGTATGTTAAAACTTGTCTAAGGGAACAAAATAAAATGATGAAAAAATACAGAAAAAAAGACTTTAGTTAGATATTGCTTTCTTCTAATGAGTCACAAGCTAGAAAAAAAGACTGATTGAGATGGACCACCCACTGAGAGTGCTGTTATCTTGTAATGGAGCATGGCGGTTCACGGCAGGAGGCTGACGTGGGACACTCACAGGAACAGGTGACAGGTGAAAGTCAAACACAAATACAGGTTCAGAGAGATGGGGGAGTCTTAAGGCCTGAGATGCTGGTGGTGTCAGCAGCCTGTTGCACTCACAGAAGGATGTTGATGTTGTGCTAATGACGCTCTTCCCTTATGTCCTTTATAAAAGGTTGAGTTGTTCTTGGAGATATTTTTTAAAAAGTTTTTAGACATATATTTAGAGATATTACATTTGTTTAACCAAACCTCTTCGGCTTCTTTAATCGCACTTAGTACCAAAAGGAGAAAACCAAAATGCTATGCTTTAAGTCGATCACAAAAATAAAAAACAGGTTGACAGCACGAAAAAGTCACTTAACTATGACTATTAACCGCATATTCTAAAAATATTTCATTTAATATCTCTGTAGAGACACTAAACAGTATTGGAATTACAAAAAAAATGGATATGACTGGAACGAGACCCTTGTGAAACCAGTGCTGTTATTTAAGGGACAGTGTTGAAATGGGAAGAGAGGGAATGATATGCTGAAAATTGTCCCAGGCTGGATTTGAACATTTGATTTGGAAGCTCCATCACAATGTCCCTCCTGGAACTAATATATTTAACTACAGCATTTTCATTTATATAATCTTCAGGTAAAAAAGGGTACAGCAGTTAAAGATACCAGGTATCTGAGAACCACTCAAAAACAAGACAATCGCTAAATATACAGTAAAGCTATCAGTGGTTGTATTTTCTGGTGTGCCATGTTTGATGCATGTATACACTTGTCTGAACGAGAAGCAGAGTTGATATACTGTAAAAACTGTTATGGTGTTATTTTCTTTTATAATATCTGTCATTTATTCCAACCCTCTTCCAAACCAGCGTTGGTATTTTCTGAAACAGTGACTAATAAAGTAGGGAGCTGATAAATACCTGTGACTACTACCTGAGACAATTGTTCTGATAATGAATGTGACCTTTCCTTTTTCCTTAGATCATTTTGAGTTATTTAACTAATCACAGCCACACAGCAAATGTTGCATTCCATACTGTACATACGCGTGCAAGATCCCTCTATGGGTAAAGACTGTACCAGCAATTCATTTGCGATCTTTCTGTGCTTCAAAAACACTTTTGAAACCTCTAAATCCACCAAAGTTGGAAAGTGTCTTACAAAATTGCAGTTTAAAACGTATTTATATGGTGCATTTAAAAAAAAGAAAGAAATCCCAGTAATGTCCAGACATGCCAATCAGCCCCTTTACTCCTCTCTGCTGCACTGCTCTAGATTTTGTTATGTAGTTACACTATGCACTTACATGCATTCTTTGCAAATACTTTACCAAACATATTAAGCAATCAGCAAAGTCTGATGTACCCACATTCACAGCTACTAGCAGAAAGGCGGAAAATCCAGCAATGCTCTGCTAAGATTTACATCTGAGATATGTGACAGAGTGCCAGGAATGTAATGATGCGTGGTCAGAAATCAAAGATCAGATCTACTCCATCTCAAAATCATGAGGAAAAGAAAAAGAGCTGCACAGTCGGGTCAGTGACAGTTTGGTGGTTTTAAAATTGATAAGTTCTTTCTGCAAATTATAGCAAAAAGACGTGTTTAATTTCTATGATCGACTGTGGATAATAAATGCTTATGGCTGAATATCTGAGCACACTTTTAATGAACTCTTCTGTCATCCTTTTAACAACAGTGAGGTGAGTAAGGCAGTTTGTAACACAAAGATTGGACACGAGTCAGACCTACTGTACAAACATAGCTCTGTATTTGAAGTAAAGTAAAAGAGTAAGAATAATAAACGTAAAAAAGCTTCACTTTTGACTAATTTTATCGTATACACTTTATGGCACTCTTGACTCAAGTGCAATCCTCCCTTAAATGTTCTTACTCACACTGTTGGTAAAGTCTGGGTAAACTTTATGGGGCCTGATGTGTGTGTGTGTGTGTGTGTGTGTGTGTGTGTGTGTGTGTGTGTGTGTGTGTGTGTGTGTGTGTGTGTGTGTGTGTGTGTGTGTGTGTGTGTGTGTGTGTGTGTGTGTGCAACTCACAAGCTGCCATAGTCTCAGAGCAGTTGTTGTTGTCATCCACACTGAAGATGGGGGGCACACAGCTGGAGGACCCCAGGCCCTGAGTCAGGTAGGTGGCTGCTGGGTAGTAGGAGTGCATGCGGTACTGAGACGACATGTTGTGGCTGGACAGACGGCCCTCACCATGAGGAATCTGTTTCATACAAGGAAACACAAAACCTCAACATGCATCTCAACATGCAGTTTCTTTCGGATTTTTCTAGCGATTTTTCAAAATCCACGAAAGAGATGTTGGGTACTGACAATATACTAACAACTATTTTTTTCGTTCTCATTAAATCAATAATTGTTAAGCATATAAAAATGTCAGATAATGGTGAAACAAGTTTCAAGTGTGTTCGTTTTTCTGACAACCCTGCATCAAGTGTAGTCAGGCAGTTGTTTATGTTTGTATGGGATTTTCAAATACAATTAAAATGGTATGGTTATTGTAAACCATTTCGTAATTTCATTCACACACAGGACCCAAGATGAGTGAGTCTCTAACTATTTATGGTCCTTCAGCCTCGATCAGGACTTAACCTTAGCAAAAAAAGGGGTTTTAAATTAAATGAAAGTATATTCTTTCCTATATTCTTTTATAACCAAACCAATGTAAATCTCTGTAAAGGGACCATAACCGTGGGTATATATCATTAGCCGCATGCATGCTAATCCCAAATACACCAGTGGATATACTCGTGCATTTTTTGACACAAAACAAAACACATTGTCCTATGACCCCCTTCCTGTTTGACTCTACGGTCCTCCAAATCAGCCATGAGATATTCACAGGCAACACTTTAACAACCTTATCTGCAAAACAGAAGTATAGAGTTAAAATACATACTACAAACAAATAAATGACAGAGAATTAGCGCTGTTTGAATTCACACGTCTATGGATGGCTCTAAAAATGGCTTTCTCCAGTCCTCTGAAAACTTTAAAACGAGCTGTCTACTCAGCAGCAAGGCCGCCTCACGCAGGGTTTTCAATTTCAGTTTTATGGAATTTGATTTCTGTCAGCCTGTAATATGTCACTCGTATTGTCCACACCATCAATTCTCCGACAGCTTTATAAACTGTTATTTAAGCTACACTCAGCTCTTGTATTAGGCTGTGAAAAATACAACAGAGATTGGACTGGAGTGTTGAAAGCGCACTGAGCTTACGGTTTGCACGACACATACAGCACCAAACAAAACCTAGTGAAAGTTCCTACAGAAAAAGCCAAGTTTGTTTTTTCAAGCAAATGGAATAGGTTTACATCTAGTTGTTACAGGCAGATCCCCACTAAATAACTTGCTAAAGCTGTCAATTTAACGCCTTATAAATAGTTTGTCATTACTCAATGGAGTGATGGGGTGAATACTATTTTAAGTGGTTTGTAGATTTATCAACAAGAAAAAGCACAGATATAGCCAGTCAATCTATTGTCTAGTCACATGACAGTTGTACTTTCGCTTTGACACCAGGTTCACATCATACAATATTTGTTTCTATTACAATGGTCACTGTGTGAGATGAAGTGTTTATAGAGTCATAACAGCTTGCTGTGAGGGCACCTTAGCTGGATTGTAATTTGTTCATAAAAAAACAAATAGCCTGCCTTTCCCATACTTTATCGGCCAATATCGCTTTCGACCCTTATGGATAGAAAGTCAAATTCTTGTCGTCTCTCCAGTTAGTTGTTTTTCACACCGGAAAATTACTTTAAGGAATGGGAACCGCGGTGCATTCTGGGGCGTGGCGGACATTTATGGAGGATAGAGTCTATAGCAGGGGTGCCCAACCTTTTTTGAACCGAGAGCTACTTCTAAAGTTGCCAGTCTGCCGAGATCTACCAGTCCAAATAGAGAGGCGTAGCCATTACTGACAGCCTACTACCAGGTAAATACACACTTTTACTTGTATAAAACTGACCTTTGTACGATTAATACTTCATAAAATACTGCAGATCCTTTATCTTACCTCTTTCTAATCTACACACATACAAGTATTTAACTGAAGTTACACAACAGTGTTGTTGATACAGAGTTGGAGTTTATTCACACGTCACTACAGTGGGTAATGTTTTCAAGAAACATTGAACAGTGCTGCCACATATGACACAGGGATAAAAGAAAATACTCTGAACCTTTTCTTTGCCATTATATAAAAATAGTGTTGCTACAAAAGTATAAATGAGGCTTACTAATAAGACAACTCAGATCTGAAGCTACACAGGAATCTGCTGCCAACGTGCAATAAAAAAGACAACATTAATAGAATCAAACCCTTTTTTGTTGCATTTTAGTAAATTATAAAAATAAATGCCTTTAAAATAGGATGCAAGCAACACTAGTTTCTTAACCTGAATTGATAATAGACTATATTTGCATTCTTATACAATTTTGGACAATAATTATAATGAATAAGTTCAAACAAACTAAAACTTACAGCTGATTAATAACGATATCTAACTTGAGTTTTTATTATATCAAAAACCTGTTGAAATGCTTCTGTTATTTTTACTGTCCCCCAAAAGCGCGTCAGCAGCCTCCAGGAAAGCTTCTTTCACAACTTCGCCGTCTTTGAAAGACTTCATGTGTTTCGCAAGAACGTGACTGACACGATAAGATGCTCTGGTAGCAGCCTTGCTCTTGTTGTTGGGCCTGGTGGAAATGGACTGCTGTGCATTTAGCTGTCCTCTCAGGCCCCTCCCCTTTTGGGAGCGTAGGGCAGAATTAGGAGGGAATTCCGTCTCGTAGCGTTTGTGCACTGTTTTGAAATGCCGCTCCTAAATTACCCTTCTTCGATAAAGCCACGCTCGCAGTGCAGATGAGACAGATGGACTTTGAATTGGAATAAATACAAAAATAATCATCCTCCCACTCGGAGTGAAAATTATATATTTGGGGCTTTTTTGCTTCTGCCATTGCGGTCTTGTGTGTGCGGACTGTCACTCCTGTTGACACGGACAACGTCAGCGAACTAGTGCCCACCCTGGTGCCCACTGCCCACAAGCCACGCCCCGACACATGGGGTCACGCCGGCCAATCACAAAGCTTTGATGCGTTCAAGTGCATTATTCTGGCACAGGAAGATTATGTTATAGGACATTAACGATAAAACTGAATATTGTTGTTCTATTTTTAGACACATCTCGCGATCGACTGGGAATCTCCCCGCGATCGACCGGTCGATCGACTGGTTGGGCACCCCTGGTCTATAGCATCAGCAACAGCCATCAATATATATCAGCTATTTTGCATCTGAAATTAATAAAGTATGCGCAAAATATAAATGTCCGTCAAAGAGAAGCTCTAGGCAGAAACAGAGGAGAGTTAAAAATATAAAAAATAACTGCGCAAAACATAACCTACTGACCATGATTAAAACGCTTAAAGTGGAAAGTTATGCTTCTCTGCCCGCTGTACAGGTTAAGTTAATAGGTTGAAGTCTCAAGTATCCTCCGAATATGGACGACTTGCCGTTGATGACATAATAAAAGCTTTATTTATACAGCAGATGCGGCTCAATCACACATCACATTCCCTATAGGTGTAATTTTCAAGGCAAGGAGTACACTTTTGGCGCATTACCACTACAGCGCGGAGCGCGGTTTAAGCGTGCCGTGCCATGCCCGGCCCGTTTTTGGTTGCGTTTCCACTAGGCGTAGTCCCGGCTAGCGGGTACTTTTTCACAGTTTTCTGGCTCTCCAAAATCGAGGTTCTTTCCGGGCCAACAACCGGGCTGAGTATACTAAACTAGTGAGAGAATCGCTGGCAACTACAACAAAATGAACATATTTTACCGTGATTTAATTGTAATACACGTTTCAAAATGATGCCGAAGTAACATACTGATACCGGTTAGTAAAAACCATGAATTACTGCTTTGACAAGTCTGCAGACAGACGGCAGGAGAAAAACCTTTTAAAATGCGTGTTTTCTGAATGGAGATTGGCTAAGCTAACGCAGTATATGCTCCGACCGTCCACACTCACAACAACGGCCTATACAGACATAAATAAACCAGCGACTGTATTCGCCATGACACAGACAGTCTGTGGTTTGTACTTGTTTAACTTTTGTCTAGTTTCTGAACAGATATGAGGAGCTGTGGCTCTGAGTGCTAACCGCTAACGGCTGATGTTGGTTTTGTGTTTCACATTGATGATGAGGTCACGGCTCCGCCTACACTGCGTTACTATAGTTACTACCCCAGTTCCTAAACTGTAATGGAAACGCAGCATAAAGTGAGCTTGGCCTACCAAGGCCTAACTTTACCATACTAAGCCGTACGAGGCCCTGCGTTTTTTTTAATTAAAATAATAATATGTGGCGACCCTTTTTAATTTTTGATTGTTTGTTATGTGGATTTGTAGTATTTGTGTTACTGTATGTTCAATAAAGGTGTATTTTTGCAAAATCTTGAGACATTGCAACATGTATGTACTAGGCAGGGCCGATTTTTGGCATAGGCTGTCGCCTAGGGCGCCAGATCTGGGGGGCGCTGCGCTGGTAGCTCTGGGAGGGGAAAACACATTTTTGACCGTTGGCGCTCATCCTAATTTTCGGCCTTGATGTAACAACATTCATAATTAAGTAAATGTAACGCCCTTTTCACCCCGGTTACATTTTTCATTTGCCCTGTACGATGGGCGCTGAAAGTGATGAAAGTGGGGGATGTTGGCTTATCAGGCGCCCGCAGCTCACAGCCAAAGTGCGAGCGTGGGAGCGAGCAAGGGAGAGAGAGAGAGAGAGAGAGAGAGTAATAACTGTTGTTATTAGAATCTGGTGCTAGCTGCGCTAACGGATATAAGAAGTAGATGTTTCTACAACCTGGGTCGAGGAGAGCTCTCCTGTCAGACTGAGAGGCTCAGTGAGGTAAAGGACTCTCTGAATGTTTAGATAGTTAATTTTAGTCTAAGTCATCTCAGTGGGTCTCAAACGTTTTGAAGGCAATCCTTTATAATTATTAGGATAAATAAAAACAGGTTTGAAATCATTCCAATGTATACTATAGGACAGTAAACCAAAAATATCGTTTAAAGTTGGAGAGATACAAAAATATGCATGAATAAATAAATGTTAACTAGGTAAAATAAGATATGAATGAACAACAAAAATTAAATAAGTTACATTTATTTGTTATTGGCTATGGAAGGTTATTGGTTATGTTCAAATACTTATTTGATTATTAAAATGTAAACCGATCTTTTTCATATGGGTGTTTTAGAGTTGTACCCCCTAGATCAGGTCTCTTGTAAGTGTGTGCTCAAAGTGCACCAGATTGAAGCATTTTACTTTAAAATGTTCAAAAAAAAAAATCTTCCCGGGGGGGGCATGCCCCCGGACCCCATTAGAGGATGTGACATCCACCTCCCAATTAAAACATGTTCATACAATACTGTACAAGTTTCTGTTTTTGTAGTGTATTGTCTTTTGTAGAGATTTTTCATTTATTCTTTATATATAAAATCTCGCCTGGGGCAGCAAATTGGCTAGAACCAGCCCTGGTACTAGACCTCAAGAGCCTTTCTTGTACTGGCAGACACATAGAAATAAATTGGCGGGGCGCACTTCGCACGTGCACACTAAAAGATTCCACGCGCTCCGCGCTCACATTATGCTGGGCCCACGTGCCTTAGCACCGCTGCTATGACTCCATCCTAGGGGAAACACTGCACTAGTGCTGCATTCATGTGACAAGTGGTAATATGGCTCTGTGCTGACGCTGCCATTGTGTTACCTTAAATTGTAGGTGAGTGCTGCGTACAAAGTAAAAATGATTTCCACTTTGGAGTCATTACGGGGAGGTAACAATACAAATTAAACTAAACTGACTCACCACAAGCTTTAGGTGTGCAGATATATTTTTTTGTTTCAATCCAGGATGTATTTGTGTCAACTGTCACGTCTACTTCTAAAGGTTATAGGGAATGCAAATGAGAAGCTAGAGGACCCTCTCATACACTCTACTATTTGGGTGGGTCTTCGTTCCAATACATTTGAACAACATTGAACAAGGTAGGTAACATTAACTGAGATAATACCTCTTTAGTGGGTTAATACTCAGTGAGACTCAGAGAATACACAATATAACATACCAACCTTTCAGTACTTGAGCTCCACAATATGTCGGTTTGTGCGAGTAGTGTTATTGACATAATGCCTTTTATTTCATTTTAGATTACTTCTCGACCTTATAACAATGGTTGACTGCCTTCATTTTTACAGCATAAATGACCCGTTAAAAATAAAATTCAATCTTGTGTTTCCGCCCAATGTACCAAAATCACACTGAACAGTGACCCCATATCCAAGTTCAACCATAAATTGTGCGCAGTGTTACACAGCTAGTATGAACAGAAGTGGTTGTAAAGGCAGAGACAGCATATCTAACAGCATATTTAGGATTATATTCCTATGTTTTTATAATAAAATTAATACTCAGATACAGAAATGTCAGGATCCTTGATGACTTCATCAGGCTCTTACTTTCGGCGTGCGCCCTCATACCAAAATGCTGATTTTCCGCGTAAAATGTTTAAATGCCAGAAAACAATATTTCTGTTCATCAAAAACGTATAATTACTCAAATTATCATAGACGGCTTTGTTTTTACGGAGCTCCGACGTCATGTTATTTACGTCCGCGTTGCCATCTTGTATACGGGCCTCATGTTCTCCCGACAATTCGTATACATACAAGATCAGCGCCACAGTATTGCCCTCATACTATATTTTTCTAGAAAAATGTCTGTTCATGACAACTAAAATTTGATTTTCTGAATGCATTTCTTGACACTAAAAAGGTAGACTTTTTTTTGCACTGATGCCATAGGGGAGGAGAATGTTGCTACACAACCAGAGTCCTCTCTCTAAACTCACTGGCTAACGTTCTGACTCGTGGGAGGGCTGCCATACCTCCCTGAGAGGGCCTGTCTCCTTATCTGGCACCATCTCCTGTCTGGAAGCTCTGCACCACCCTTATATTATCATCATCCACCTGCATGACAGCCAAGCACCACTGAGTGCACAGGAGAGCAGAGGAGGAGGTAGATGAAGCGCTGATAAAGACCACAGCGTTTCCTTGTGGGAATTAATTTAGTGTTGGGAAAAGCTCATAGTTCACTGGACTGTGAGAATCGCTATTGATAAGATAAGCGTGATGATTTAAAGGAAATTAACATTTTTATAGCAGGTTTTGCCGCTGAGAAAAACACTATTTCAAAAAGGTTGCCAGAAAAATAAATAACATTTACCTAAATCTACAGCCAAATGTTAAGTAATTAGTATAACAATTTGATTGACTAAGAACACTATATTAAGATAACGAAGGAAGTAACTGTATGCTGTATTATTTGTTTTTAAATAGTTTTATGCGTGTTAACTGTTAACTATTTTGTGGCGTTTAAGTAAAGAAAACTGCAAACTAAGTAGCAAATTATGGATTTTAATGTCCAGCCGTAACATATACTGTATACATAGATTCATAAACGTCCATTATGGCACTCTGTCATAAACAGAATAACTGTGTTTCAGGCAAGCACTCAAATTAAACTAGCATTAAGCTCAACTCAAAAGTGAAAATTGACATTTGAATAATACAGATAGTTTGAAATATATATAGTTCTAAAAAATTATTTTTTAATCTGTAAATATTGTTGTGTTTTATTTTAGTTTGTTGTTTTTATGAATTTGAACATGTTAAGTGTCTTTGAGTACCATCAGAAGCACTCTATAAATAAAATGTACTATTAATATTATTGAGTAAATGTTCACTAGATGTTATTACAAAGAAAAGAGCGACACCTCTAAAAAAAAAAAAAATGGACAGAAAGTCAATGAGAAAAAAACTTGGCAGCTCTCTGGAGGGTGCAGAAAGACAGTGGTAAGTGCTTTAACTTCAATATGGAGACACAATCTAAAATGAGCAACTCAAGAATAATCACTTTTGCTGGGGATGCAAATATCTGAATATATTTCCAATACATTGTAGAGGTTAGGACAGGTTAAGGAAACAGAGAAAACACGACAGAATATTTGGCTTTAACAGAAGATTGACAATTTCTCAATTCAAGCAATACTAGTAAAAACTGTGTCTATTTCTTGAGGAATATTTCATCAGGTCCTAGTTACAAACTGTTAAACTGTGTGTGTGTGTGTGTGTGTGTGTGTGTGTGTGTGTGTGTGTGGCACAATATACTCATCTCTCCAAATAATCAACTCTTCATGCAAACACATAAAAAAGGTAGTCCCTGAATTTGAATAACCGTAGCACGTTGCCCACTCAACCTGACAACTTCGCTAAAAATATCATAAATCAAAAAGGAGGATGGCTAAATTATGCTAAAGAGTGCTAACTGATTAGCATTAATGCGCTCACTTTCACCTCGGAGCACTGAGGCATAGCGGTTTGGTCCTCTGCCGACAGACAATACCATTAACCTTTGCAATTCAGGCTCTGCCGTGCGCCGGCGGGTTGGCGGAGGCACTGACCCCAAAACTAGATGTTGCTATTGGGGGAACGGAGAGGGGGGGGGGGGGGGGACTAATGTTGTTCATAAAAACAAACCACCTCATCTGAGATCACTGGAGAGTTATATATCTAATTTGCTCCATGCACAAGCTCATCTCATTTGACACAGTAGAGATACATTTAGGCATAAATCAGCGTGAATATATGGATGAATGAGGGTCCAAGTGTGTGTGTGTGTGTGTGTGATGGTGGGATGTTTGGTACTACACCCCCCCCCCCCCCCCACATGTGTCCTGCGTTATAACCTAAGTGCTGACATTAGAGCAGACACTCTCATCCATCTCTAAGGAAAACAAAGAAATAAAAAAGTTTATATGAATCACTACTGGAAGCAAAGAAAATAAACTTCAAATGTCCACAAGGTTGCCTGAGCATGTCTCAGTTACATCACTGACATATCAGAGTGGAGCTTCACCCCTTCTTCTTCTTTTTTACATTTTCTTTCTTTCTGTGTTCTGTAAATCTGTTATTTTCTATACCGGGACTTCTTTACTGCCGACATGATTAGTCAATACAATACTTTGTCAAGGTGTTTCTCTCTTACTCACCTGGTATTGCTGGTAGTTGTAGAGGTTTCCGTAGTAGGCGGAGTATCGTGAAGGCTGGTAGAAGTTGTAATATGAAGTTTCCATCAGCAGGTCTGAGGTCTCCTCGGTGTGAGCCCGGGCCCCGGCTGACAGGCTGGGGGACAGACCTGAGTGACCCCCTGGGAAACACACACATATCTCTTAAAAAACCTTTAAAATGCACTAAATATCTCCCTTCTTGTTTATGTCTGGTATTCAATTCAATGTAATTATCTTGGGCTTAATTCAATATGGGAGTCTATACTTATTTTATATTGTCTTTAAAGTGCACTGTGATCCCTGTTGTGAGATGAATTGTGAAATGTATTTGTTTGACCTTTTAACATCTTATTGTAGTCTTTATTTGTATGTTCTTTTTTAAATACTTTAATTTCATTCGACTGTATTCTGTTGTTATTTTGCTTCTGTGAAGCAAAATAAGGAAATTCTTGTTACAAAGATACAATAAACATAATAATACTAACAGTGCAGTAAAAAGAGCAACGGTGCTTTACTAATAGAATGTATCAATATTAATATAATAATAGGGGGAAGACACAAAATATAATGTCAGAGGATAAAATAAGATGTCTGATGGATTTCAGATCCTTATTGCACGTATACATTATACCAATTGTAACTTCTCTAATGTTATGTAATTGTAAAACCTTTCATGATTTCTAAGCAGAGCTCAAGCTAAATTACATTTATTCTGAGCCTTTGCCGAACGTTGAATCTTCAATGAAACAGACTATCTTTCAATCAATAAATACAAAGTGTATTTATGGTATAGCCCAGTATCACAAATGTTACATTTGTCTTGTGGGGCTTTATGCAGAATCTGTCCTTACACCCTCACATCAGACAAGGAAACACTCCCAAAGAAACTCCATGGTTAATGTGGGAAGAAATGGAAGAAACCTTGGGCACGGCCACGACTCCTGATCCAGGCAAAGCTTTAATACTGACAACGTGCCAGTTGACAGACACAAAACACTGTGGGGAAGCTGAGCTAGTAGCATTCATATTTGGGACATGAGAGTATACAGGTACAGAGAAAGAGAAAATAGAAGTAAGGTGTCCCCTGACCCTGTCTTAGTCTATAGCAGCATAACTAGAAACAATGTTATGTTTATCTTTATTTTATTTGTAATTCTTGTAGATTGACTGTCGAAATGCTGCTGTGACAAAACAATTTCCTAACTTGGAATGAATAAAGTATCTATGTATCTATCTTTTGGCTGATTCAAGGTAAGTCTTAGCCACTCCTAACTATAAGCTTTATGAAAAAGGAAAGTCTTAAGCCTACTCTTATGAATGGATAGGGTGTCTGCCGCCTGAACACAGACTGGAAGCTGACTCCACAGAAGAGGAGCTTGCTAGCCAAATGCTCAGGCTCTTTCTGCTAGGTGCACTCCTACCTCAAATTATAATCAAGAGCACCATCTGCAGGTGGCAGGTATCACCTACGTCAGGGGGGTCAAACTCAAATACACAGTGGGCCAAAATTAAAGAATGGGTACTAGTCGAGGGCCGGACTGGTTCAATGTTTATTGCAGAACTTATTGAAATGAACTTATTGCACATATTAAACCTGGAACTAACAAAACTTAAATTATTGCCTATAAAAACAACATTAAACATTAAATAATCAGTTGCATTCATTTCTTATGGCTCTGCAGATTACATTTTTCCACAGGCCAACAACAGCTTCAAAAAAACGATTTCCCTCAAAGAAAAAACATGCCCTGTTGTCGTGAGAGACAAAGTGCAGAAGGAAACATCCATTAAACTGCTCTGTGATGCTAGTTCAGATACTTGGCGTCTCATCTCGGGTGCAGGTTCATCAATGTTTGAGCTCAGGCTCTGAGCGGAGGAGATCCTCAGGATGGAGTGAAGGTGTGAGTGCAATATACCGGCGGATCAGATCTAATAGTAATTAAAAATTATCCTGCGGGCCGAAATTAAATCCACCAAGGGCCTGATCTGGCCCCCGGGCCTTGAGTTTGACACATGTGATCTACGTCATAGAAGCAGACCTAACAACACACCATCACAATGCAGAAATAAGTGCTGGCCGATCAGGCGAAGATGACCATCATCATCATCACCTTCATTACTTTTTTATCTGTTGTTCTTTCCTTATCAACAAGGCCACATTGTTCTCGGGATGACCCTGATCTTTCACTTTACAGAATGAAGACACTGTGCAACACTGAAGCCGAAGATAATGACATGCGTTGTCCCCGTTGTGATTAATTTCACCAGTGAATCACGGAGTGCTCGACTCCCTTCCTCACCTCAATCCTTCCTCTCTGTTGCCAAGGCCCAAAGTTCATTCTCACAGAAACACAAAGCAAAGAAGTCAAAAATGAGCAGCCTTGACCACAGTCATAATCCAACTCCTCAAAATGTTCTATCAGTGCAGGAACATCATATCTGTGTCTGGCTCCACACCACTGCTGGGAAAGAGAAACAAACTGCCCTTTCATATTCTCCCATAATAATGTCTCTGATTAGTGATATCCATAAGAGTGTTCTTCTGCTGTGGATTTATCCTTTTTTTGTTTAAAATATTGAATTCAAGTTGACTAAACAGTCATCTTTACAAAGGTATTAATATGTACAAATATACCACAAACACAATATTATAGTGGCTTTGCTGCCTGTTAAACTAAAATCTTCGGAATAAGGTTGTACTTGTCAATATGTCAATTTCTTCACACGAAGCTTTTAAAATAACATAATATGACCCATCTTTAAAAAGCCAACTGATAAAAACAATCTTGTGAATTATGAATGTTATCTTTCAACACTTCTAAAGATTTTACAGAAGACATTTGTATGTTCTATTAAGGTGGACTGACTTTAGTCGGACCAGTTATTCTGCAATTTGGACACGTTTTTGGCAGTTTTGGTAACGGCCTGATGATATCTGCTTAATTTTCAGAGCAGGTTAAGCCAACTGTCTTTTATCAATTATCGGAAAAACATTCATATTTGAAATGATAAAGGGTTGAGATCAAGTTAGACTTAAGAAATTGTAAATCTAAATGTGATATCAGTGATTGGCAAAATGTTTTATTCAGTAAACTACATTTTGAGAGATTGCACGCATAAATCATTCATTTATTTATCTATTAACTCAACTGCAAAACAGCGCTTTATAACGGCAGCTGTGTTTTATATGCTACATTTCTAATGTGAATTCCAGCAAATATTTTTCAATAATTCCCAGAGCTTTTGTTTGGACAAAATGAATTTATACTGGGGACATGTCTCCACCACTTTCAGAAATGGCCAATTTTGTCCCCACCTCTTTGCATTAAGGTAATTTGTTAATCTGCCTAATCTTTTGTTTTGGTTTCCAAAATGGATGTCACGTGCTGCGAGGAACTCTGGATGAGTTCGTTAGGGACTGGTCCCCAATTGCACCGTACATGAAGGAAGAATGGTCAAGTGTTATAACTGTGGGCGTAAATATAACATAATAAGTAAGTACTCCCACATGAGAGAGTACTAGGTTACTACTGCTGCGGTTTGTTTGTTTTAGTGTTTTGTGGGTTATATCACGTTTTGTTGTGTTGTCCTTAATGTTTTATCGTCTCAACTTGTAACTTCTGAAAATAAAATAAAAAATATTGAAAGAGAAGATAATTTGTTAATAATATTCTGAAAATAGTGTGTTCACAAAGAATTGTAAACTTATTTTGCACAAGAGAACATGTTCAACCCCGAGGACTGTTCACACTTTTGTGGGTGTATTTCTGCAAGTGGAGCAATATGGACACGTTTAATATTAGTAATAATTTAATAGAGAATAGTAAAGCAATTGTTGCTCCTGTTAATCCTAGCTTAGTTACTGCCCTAGTTGTCCAAAAAAGTATTGTATGTTTGCGGGGGGTGCGTAATGCAGTAGTGTTTTTTTTAATCTGAAAAAAGTTTCCTTACCACTTTTTCTAACAAAATGCCTGTACAGCAGTATAATCAGTATTACTACATTAAAAGTGTGACATGCGAGATACGGGACAGATGTCGGTTGTGGATACCTCACCTGTGCCGGCAAGAGAAGAAGCAGAGGTGCTGGTGGGTGTCAGGGCTCGCCCCTCTAGGGAGAACAAGCAGTCTGCCCCAGCCTCATTCTTCACCATCGCATCCGGACCGCTCAGAGATACCGGACCACAGATCCCAAGCTCCTCTTCCTGAGCCTGCTGCCGTCTCAGGGCGACCTTGAGGGGGGAGGAGAAAATGAAAACCAAACATTATGCTTATCTACTAACTTTGTAGTACAGTCTACACACTGTAGACTCTACAGCTTGATAATGTAAAGGTAACATACAAACATAGTTAAGTAATTAGTAAATGATTACACATTGATTTGACTTTCTGAAATTGAATTGACCTAAATCAGGAAAAGTATATTATTTACGTCTCTGCACAACTCATTTGAAAATTGTTTGTTATATTATTAGATTAAATTATTTATGATTGAATTTGTTCAGCTGGTAAATGTTTAAGGCCAATCTGTATTTAAATCGAGTATTTCAAACTGTCAGATAAATTAAATAGAGTAAAAAGTACAATTTGGGCCTCTGCATTGCAGGAGAGTAGACATAAAAGTTGCAGGCAATGCAAATACTAAATGCAAATACTCAAGCTCCTCAAATTTGCCATATTCCCTAATTTTGAAATGTATAATAAGTGTTACTTAATCTCAAAATATAACTAAATTGTTAGTTCAAGCTAGAAAGTTACAAAGTAGGCTATTCCACCACATATTATGGCAAATGTATCTGCTCTAAAAACTGTATTCATATTATGTATCGAGAACGGTCTGCTGTATGCAACACGTGTGAAAATATACACATGCAAGGTGGACATTTTAGGTGTGCTATGTGAAATGTAAATGAGGGAAAACAACTTAAGTAAATTTAGACACATTAGTTAAAAAGTATACAAACATCATTTTAAAATATGTTACTTAGCAGTTAACTTAACATCACAACCCAGAAACGATTTGCTTTCACGCCAAACCTCTAGGTTTGAATATATCCTTTTCGAATCAAGCTAACATTAGCCGGTTAGGCTTAACATGAAGAAAGTTTTAAAATTACCTGGGCCGCCATTACTCTTTGCCTCTCTGCTATAAGCTTGCATTTTGGACACTGGCAGTCCCTCCAGTTGCAGAACCGTTTGTGTCCCTTCAGAGGAGACACATAGCCGTGGTTTCTGCAGCGGGAGCACTTGGGCATCCTCGGGGGTTTCTGGCGCTTGGATGGAGACATAGATCCCGGGCATTGCTGCACCTGCTTGCTGCTCATGGCTGCCGGATCAAAAGTGCCAACTGCTCAATCTGGTCAAAAAACAGTCCAACTTTAGCTACTATGTTTGAGTATGTTCCAGACTCGGGTGGTTAAAGATGTGCACTGGAGCCACTGGTGCCAGGAGGATGGAGCCTCTATCCAACCGCCCCGCTGTAACAAGTGGGAGGGAACACGCTGAGCGGGGAGAAGATTGGTATCACCGAAGAGAAGTGACTGAAGTGACTTTCAAACTTTGTGAAGTTTTTTTATTTCAAACAGTGTAAACTTGACATATTTTGGCAACATGTGTGGATACACTGCTGGCTAGCTTGTGAATCCTCCTAAATTAATATAATACAGCTTTGTCTTTTTGCTGATGAGGATATTTCGCATTAGCCTACATTTTAGAATCTGCAAAATGTTCAAACCAGTGGCGTAGCTGTGGGTGGGCCTGGGCCCACCACATGCACGTCTGGCCCACCCAGAGCCAATCAGCGCGTTATAGCGTAGAGCCGGGAAGCCCAGAAGGAAGTGCCACAAACTGCAGTTCCTCTAGTGGCCAACAGGGGATGGATGCAGAAAGGAGCCATTCCCATAGACCCCCATGTTAAAATGCCCAACTTTACAGCAGAAATAAACATGTTTCTAGCCCTGGATCCAATCAAACGTATTCTGGATATAGTTAGATTCCACCTTCATGACAATGGAACAGGGAGTGCATTTTTTTTAACGTGAGTAAATTAGTAAGTAAAGTAAGTTTTGCCGTGAGTGAATGAAAGTCTTATTTCTTCTTGAGGTCTGCAATGAAGCGTGTACACATTTGCTGAATATGAAAATACTCTCTCAGTGTGTGCCCACTGTGCGACTGTCAAGGATAAACAACCTGTGGCCGCCGAGCCAGTCATGTGTAGGGATAGGTACCAAGCCCCAGTATTAAACAGGCCCCAGGGATGAATTATTAAAGACCGTGGCCGTGGTACCATTAAGCTCCGACGTTATCGGTCGGTACTGGAGAGAGACATATACAAAATATCTGCCGTATTATTGCTACACAAACATTATATTGCAGTTTTAGTGTCGCCAACTCAGTTTCTAATATGCAAAAAGACAGCAAAATGCGTCTATGATTATTTTTTGTATTTTAGATCTTTCCAATCCCCGTCTGTGTGCGAGGGGGCAGGGCAGTTTACACACACGCAGCTGCTACATGCAGCAACACACACACACGGAGGAGATGGCGGAGAGAACACGCTCCGAGGTGTGGTTAAACTTTACCAGTCTCGATGTGAACAATGCTCGTTACCAAAAGTCAGTGTTACAGTAACGCGTTACAAAGTAACGCCGTTCATTCGGGTAGTAACTAGTACTCTAACGCATTACTTTTTAAATTCAGTAATTCAGTTACGACATGGTGCGTTACTCCGTTAGTTTTTTTTATATAGTCAACAGCCAGGCGAACAGAGATGAGAACTGTACTTAAGTACAGTACTTGAGTAAATGTACTTAGATACTTCCTGTGTCACATGCGGAGATGCGCTGTGGGCGTGTTTGTGTTGTTTACTAACAAGACTATCATGGCGGCGGCGGAGCTCAAGTCTAGTTTCTCCACCTGGAGATATTCTCACTATTTCACTTTTGTCGAGCACAAAGAAAAGAACGTTTTAGTTAAATGTAAGTTGTGTCCTGGCGGGTCAAAGATCCTATCTACTGCCCAAACCAGTAATTCAAATCTCTTAAAACATCTGCAAAAACAACATGCTGGGACGAAGCTAGTAACTAAGACCACAGAGACTCAGCCGACGCCACTCCACCTCCACCTAAGCAACAGCGGCTGGATTTTAACCAAGGGACTGCTAGCCAGGGAAAAGTCGATAAAGCCATTGCACAGTATGTTGTAGAACACATGCAGGCTATTGCTACAGTGGAGTCACCCGCTTTCAGGGAGCTAGTTAGCATGATACCATGTCCGGGCGGCACACGGCATACTGTATGGGACGGAAAACTTTTTATAACTACCTGGAGAAAGAATATACAAAAATGGAAAGCCAGCTAATATCGATGCAATCCAGATTGCATATAATGCATGTCAAGTTGATCAACAGATTGTATTATTCTCCAATTCTTTCACACACACATACGGGTATTGGGCCGAGCTTGACACCGTACTTCCGGTATCCGCCGTTTTACGCGAGGTGCAAGCAGCCGTACACCGTCTAGGTGTTGCTAAGCTTCCTGTACTGAATATCATAGTCTATTGCCTTAATCAATATCTAGTCAACTCTAAAATACCACATATATGTAATGGCATGATAATATTATTGTGACAAGTGGGGTATTCACCTGGTGTTTCCAGAAATTAGACGTAGATGCAGCCAAAATCGACGAAGGCCACTGTCGTTTTTCCATACATCTGCAGGCACACAGCTCTAGTTTACGCTGGTAACGACCTAAAGCACACCCCTCAAGTCCAGAGATGTAATCCGAAGACATGCAGCGATTTCTTCGGTCGTTAATTCAGAAAAAAAAACCTTGTCCGCTCTGCCTGGCTACGTTAGCTCGCTGCTTATATTTGCACTTCCAGGATATTTGCACCTCCAGGAAAATGGCGTATTTATATATATATATATATATATATATGGCGCGTGATGCATTGTGGGTAGCTCGTGACGTCACTGTGTGTGAAAGAATGCAATAACAGTACTGAAATTAAGGCTATAAGGGCATTAATGGGAGCCCTTTTTTTAAGTAACTAAAACGTTACTTTTCACAGTAACGCATTACTTTTTGGTGTAGGTGATCAGTAAAGTAACTGCGTTACTTTTGAAATGAAGTAACTAGTAATGGTAACTAGTTACTGGTTTTCAGTAACTAGCACAACACTGCCAAAAGTGCAATAAGAGTTTAACATGTAAGGGCGGTAACACGAGCAATTTGTCGAAACATTTAGCAAAAGTGTACCACATTCAGACGGAGGAATACACCGGGTTCGACTGTCTTTCTAGCAGTTCTGTAGTCCCATCCACGAGTAACTTTTCTACGTCAGGTGTTATGTATGCTAGCAGCCACACATGGAGTTAACTCAATGATTCAAACATGGGTTAATGATTAGAGGTAACTGAGTTATTTATTATTTTGTTAAAGTTTCAGCTATTCTGTTTACAGTTCTGTCATCAGATTATTTAATGTGATTTGTTAAAACATTGTTGTTTCTTTTGATGTGAAATATTATGTATTTAAATAAAAGCAATGTTAGTTTTGTTCACAATTTGTTTGTTTAGTTAACCTTATTTTTCTCTCCAAAAAAAACGATAAAAGTACCGTTAAAGCACCGGATCGATAAGCGGTAGGCCTATTGATAAAGTAGTAGTAGGCCTACCGTTAAAACCTTAACGATACCCATCCCTAGTCATGTGGATGTCAGTTTTACACACATTCTGAGGCCGCAGTGCCTATGTTTTTGTTTTCACAGCTAGTTTATGCTTATGTTCAATTAGTGCATTAAAAAATCATTAAAATCATTAATGAAGTTTCAGCTCAGACCCCACGCTTAGTGGCCCACCTACATTTCTCCAGGCCCACCCACACAATAATTCCTGGCTACGCCACTGGTTCAAACTAGTATAAGTTGTGGGATTTATGAAAACAAATCTTAACTTTTCTGTGCCAACAGTTTTCTCTCAGGATTTTATAAAAATGTAGTAAGCCTATGTACTGTATGAATGTTATAAAAAGTTGTAGATGTTATTTTTGTCTTATGAATGTGCAAATCAATTGTTGTTTCAGGTCATTCAGCTTTGATTGATGTTATTTGGAATGATTATGTTCTTCTAATAGTTTACATTTGTATTTTGGGCATTGTCTTTTTACAATTGTAAAATGTTACGTTTTATATTCGTTAGACATTTGTGATCTGTAATATTTTTTTTTTTAAAAGTCTGTGGCAAAGGAAACATGATCCTCCCTGCAGCTTAATTTTTCTTAAATTAAATAAGATGTAAGATGTGTGGATAATCAATGAAAATACAGATTTATATTCTTTAATTGATGTTTATTGTTATATTGCGTAGTCTCAGGCACTTTCTCATTGAAGGATGAAAGTCAGTACCTTGATGAATACTAGAGGACAGACAGCTTATATTACATGAGACAGACGGAAAGAAAGTGGACAAAAAAGGAGTAATAACTAAACTCTAATAACCACTATGTACAATGAAATACATATATCTGCATTAAAAACTATACTTTGATAAATATATAACTTCATGGGTCGTTAAGCAGTAATAGGAAATATTCAAAATACTGTGATTCTTCTTTTTAAATAGATACAAAGGATTTGTATAAAAGTACAATTTCTCCAGTCTAGGACGCGTCTATTAATCGATGCATTGATCCGCACGAGTTCTACACACACTGCAGAGAACCGAGCGCACATGTCTGAGGCCGGGATGTCGAGGTGATTAATATATACAGGAAATATTTCCTCTAACATGTGGTTGGATTTTTCGGTGTACTCGAATGCAAAAAAAAAAAAAAAAAATCACAAATGTTTGGTGCTCTTGAATGATCAACATAGAGCTTTAAAAATAAAGAGAAAGTTGTCAAATTGCGAAAAATATAAAGTACATTAAAAAAAATGGCAATTAGTGGTTGAATCTGTGTCCGTGTTGGTTAGCTGATTATTACAGGCGGATCCGGATGGGACTTGAGGCACCAGCTGGTTACATTCATATTCAAAGGGCACTTTGGGCTAGTCAGTGTGCACATAAATAACAAATATTTCCAGACATCTAATTGGTTGGTGCTTGGGATTGTGTCCCTCGTCAGCTGTGGGTAAGGCAGCGTGAACCAATAGCAGCGCAGGGTTTGTTCTGAGAGACGGGGCACTTAATCGAACATGCTCCTCCGAGTGGGACTGGGTGAGGTCTTTCTGCCAAGTCTAGGGGTCCCCTGGAACACAACAGGTTCAAAAGGTTAATGTGACAGCTGACATGTAAACACACTAAATTACAAGAACAGAGGTTGTTAAGGCCAAAATAAGTAGAACTTTTTTCTGCCATTTATGTAGCTTTCTGTTGGATGCTTTGTTATAGGCTAAGCCCCAGAAACATCCAGGACATAGCAAAAGAAGAAAATGCAGACACCACGTGCACTTGCAGTGGGTCATTTTCTGTGATTAAGAGTGAAAACAAATTATATTTTCAGTAAAGAACCCTACTCATTGCATCTTAAAAAGAGTGAGTGCGTGATGAGGACTTACAGGGGACTGGGCTTTGGAGAAGTTGACATGTGCATACAGCAGTACTGCAATGTCCTTGTGTCCTGCTTCTAGAGCGATTGACAGGGCATTACTCTCATCCTGAAGAGTAAACAACAAAGCACGAAATATGAGTGAAAAAACAAACGAAGTTGCATTATTCAGAACTAAAGTCCTTCCAATACAAAGGGTAGGCATGCAGTTAGTTACCAGCACATTCTATGCATGATTTCTAAAATATTTCTGTTTATGTGGAGTTTACCTTTAACTTAAGGAGCCATATTATGCTCATTTTCAAGTTTAATATTTGTATGTTGTAGGGATGTAACGATATACCGAATATCGCGATAAATGAACGTCCCAATACCGTCGTGAGACTGACAAAATCTACCGTGATTAAAAAAAAAAAAAATCTCTTTTTCAAGAGAGACCTGTCCAACATAGCAGCAAGTAGGTTACAACATGAACATAAAACAGAACACAAAAGGACATCGTATATACAGGGCTACATTTACATACCTAGAGACATTGACAAGTACCAACAGTATATTTATATCTCGCCCTGTCAATAAGCCTCACCTTCTTGGCAAAAACTGTATTGTTTTTGAAGTGGTGGAGAGACAATGCACAGTTTGACCCACTGCTGTCACCCATGGCCAAAGCATATCTCTCCGTCCCACTGAGGTGGCGTTAGACTTTTTCGTCATTTTGACAGACAGGATCGTAAAATATCCGTCATAATCCATTATTATCCGTTGGGTCTGAACTAGCAACATCAGTACCAAGCGAGAGTTTTTTCCACAGCAGGGGATATTGTAAACGCCCAAACATCCCAGCTTCTACCTGGAAATGTGAACATGCTCATATTCCTAAAAACCTGTCTGATGATGCTGAGTGAGTGACTAGTGAGTTACTTGAAAAACTAAAGTGAAACTTGATTTATTTAATTGCAGGGTCTGATTATTAAATGTCCTTGTTTATTTGTGAGGTGCAGTGGCACAAAGAAAATGCCTACTTTGTTTGGTAGTACTATAGGTACAAAAACTCTGGTTTTCTTGTTCCAGTCTATTACTGTCACTTTGTTTTTGACACTTTAAAATACTGCTATCCTACTAAAATGCTGTACAAATCAGATTTATTATTTAATAAAAAACATATTTCCAAGTAAAACATTTTAAAATTATAAAAAAGAAAACATTTTACATTTTTTTCCTTCTATATATTATCGTACCGTGAGTTTTTGGTATCGTTACATCCCTAGTATGTTGTGTCTCTACTGTGACATGTTTACATGTAATGATTTAATGTTCAAAAAGCTGTTTATTTTTCTCATACTGCAGCACCTCTTTTCACCCTCTGTGAAACCAGAGTCCAGTCTGCTCTGATTGGTTAGCTGGCCAGCTCTGTTATGATTGGTCAACCGCTAAGCCTATCACATACAATGTGTTGGAGCACTAGCCTAGCACAACTGTTACATAGTGATGTCACTATGCTCTTTTTGTGTTTTCAGTGCATACAAAGTTTTTAAATTAACTAAAGTTATTAAATGAATGTAGTGGGGTAAAACAATTGGCAGTTGATAAGAAATGGAAACAAAATAATCAAGTATTGTAAGTAATCAAGCTTGAGTACCTTACTTTGGTACAGTATTTGAGTAAACGTAGTGTTACTCACGCCATCGCTCAGGGTGGCGTCACACCCAGGCTGAGCAAGCAGCAGTTTGACGATCTCCACGTGTCCGTGCTCGCTGGCGCACATCAGCGCCGTGGAGCCCTCGTCGTCCTGTATGTTGACGTCGGCCCCGTGAGCCAGCAGGGCCCGAACCATGTCCATCCTGCCGTGACTGACCGCCAGCATCAGCCCCGTCTGCCCAGCCTGAAGAGGGGTCAGATTAGATTCAACCTTATAGTCACTGCACAGAGTACAAGTACTGGGACAACGAAATGCATTTAACCAGAAGAGCAAGCAGTAAAGTGTAGTGTAAAGGAATGATACAAGTAAGTATAAGTATATATATATATATATATATATATATGACAGATCTTAAAATCTCAATTATACAGTATGAACAGTAGTGTAAATAATAGACAGGTTAAATATTTACACTCCAATGAAATATAAATGACATTTATTGTATTATTTCTGTTGGTTATTCATTCAATTTTTGCCTTATTTGATTTGCTTCATCGCAGATTATGTAGATTCACATTGTAACAGTCACTGTATTGTTTATTAGGTTGAGTATGTGAAACAAATAACACAAAAATACACTGAACAAAAATATAAATGCAACACTTTTGTTTTTGCTCCCATTTTTCATGAGATGAACTCAAAGATCTAAAACATTTTCTATATACACAAAATAACCATTTCTCTCAAATATTGTTCACAAATCTGAAAAAATCTGTGATAGTGAGCACTTCTCCTTTGCCGAGATAATCCATCCCACCTCACAGGTGTGGCATATCAAGATGCTGATTAGACAGCATGATTATTGCACAGGTGTGCCTTAGGCTGGCCACAATAAAAGGCCACTCTGAAATGTTCAGTTTGATCACACAGCACAATGCCACAGATGTCGCAAGTTTTGAGGGAGCAGGAATGTCCACCAGAGCTGTTGCCGTGAATTGAATGTTCATTTCTCTACCATAAGCCGTCTCCAAAGGCGTTTCAGAGAATTTGGCAGTACATCCAACCGGCCTCACAACCGCAGACCACGTGTAACCACACCAGCCCAGGACCTCCACATCCAGCATGTTCACCTCCAAGATCGTCTGAGACCAGCCACTCGGACAGCTGCTGCAACAATCGGTTTGCATAACCAAAGAATTTCTGCACAAACTGTCAGAAACCGTCTCAGGGAAGCTCATCTGCATGCTCGTCGTCCTCATCGGGGTCTCGACCTGACTCCGGTTCGTCGTCGTAACCGACTTGAGTGGGCAAATGCTCACATTCGATGGAGTCTGGCACGTTAGAGAGGTGTTCTCTTCACGGATGAATCCCGGTTTTCACTGTTCAGGGCAGATGGCAGACAGCGTGTGTGGCGTCGTGTGGGTGAGCGGTTTTCTGATGTCAATGTTGTGAATCGAGTGGCCCATGGTGGTGGTGGGGTTATGGTATGGGCAGGGGTATGTTATGGACGACGAACACAGGTGCATTTTATTGATGGCATTGTGAATGCACAGAGATACCGTGACGAGATCCTGAGGCCCATTGTTGTGCCATTCATCCACGACCATCACCTCATGTTGCAGCATGATAATGCACGGCCCCATGTTGCAAGGATCTGTACACAATTCCTGGAGGCTGAAAACATCCCAGTTCTTGCATGGCCAGCATACTCACCGGACATGTCACCCATTGAGCATGTTTGGGACGCTCTGGATCGGCGTATACGACAGCGTGTTCCAGATCCTGCCAATATCCAGCAACTTCGCACAGCCATTGAAGAGGAGTGGACCAACATTCCACAGGCCACAATCATCAACCTGATCAACTCTATGCGAAGGAGATGTGTTGCACTGCGTGAGGCAAATGGTGGTCACACCAGATACTGACTGGTTTTCGGAACCCCCCAATAAAGCAAAACTGCACGTTTCAGAGTGGCCTTTTATTGTGGCCAGCCTAAGGCACACCTGTGCAATAATCATGCTGTCTAATCAGCATCTTGATATGCCACACCTGTGAGGTGGGATGGATTATCTCGGCAAAGGAGAAGTGCTCACTATCACAGATTTGTTCAGATTTGTGAGCAATATTTGAGAGAAATGGTTATTTTGTGTTTATAGAAAATGTTTTAGATCTTTGAGTTCATCTCATGAAAAATGGGAGCAAAAACAAAAGTGTTGCATTTATATTTTTGTTCAGTGTAGGTTGCTGTCCTAGAACATATGTCATTAAAATGAATAATACGGCAGGAAGAGGTTTATCACACTGTATGTGATTTGAAATAAAGCTGGCATGAAATCTTCTTCCTGATCTTATATTAATAAACTGTGTCTTACCATCAATATCAGCAATTAAAACATCACACATGTAGTAGTTTAACATTCATGAATGTCACAAATCCTAACAGTTACTTTCCTTCACCACTTGGTGTCATCAAAGTACTATTTTGCAACTTCAGGATAAAGTCTGAATCCCCTACTCAGGAACAATATATAAAGATAATGAAGGAAACCTACATCATGGAAAAAAACAGTAGTCTTTGTCACATGGAAGTGACAAAGACTACTGAAAAGAATCAAACAGAGGGAATCGATAGACTACTCAAACAAAAAAATGAAATGTTGATTTCTGTACTCTTGATTGTGTGACATGTTGATCTATTACGCTTTTATTGAGATTCACAAACATAGAAACCTAAGTAGAGGAAAAAAATACAATGAGAAAAGCCATAAGGTAACTGAACAAAGCAAAAATAAAAGAATACTTAAGTCTTCAACTGAGAATGATCTGCATGATCTGACTTTGTCTATTGGATTTTCTAATTATTCACAAAAATGGCTGTTTTTTCCTTTAAAAAACACCTGTATACGCTGCTGGTTTCTCACTGTTCATTTTTGCTTCCTGTTAGCTTTAACCGGCTTAGTTTATAAACAAAAGAGTGCCTGACTTGCCCTCACAACCTTAATTTCCCTACTCATTAAAACCTGAACCCTGTGTTTGTGCCCTGCTGCTGCCTTCTGACCTCCGACCTCTCCGTTACTGACCTGGCTGGCCCGAGCGTTTACATCGCCCTTGCTGAAGAGCTCATCCACGATACGCATGTCCTTGGGCGACTCCACTGCGGCCAGCGCGGCCAGCATGATGGGCGTGTATCCCGCATTGTTCTGCTGGTTCACGTTGCACACATCTGAAACACATAAACATGTTTAAAATCACTTTGGAGTAGCTTGGGGGGAGTACTTGCGGGTGGTCCTTGTACACTTGTATGCTATGTCTCCTGTATGATCGACTTGTCGCTGCCTGTCACTCAACAACACAGTAATGCACGAGGACGTGTGTCGGGACCATGATGCATTGTCTGAACCCTAAAAGAACTCATCTGCAAAAAGAGACAGGACATCAGAGCCATCCGATGGGAGGTGAGGCGGGTATGAGGGGGGCTGCCCTGCCTGCTGAGGGGAGGAGGGGTTTAAGGAACTGGGAGGACAAAGGCTACAATGGGACCTGGGGGGTGGACTGGCTGTCACAGAGCACAGCGAGACAAAAGGCAGAGGACACAAAAGGCTTTTAAAACAGCGAGTGGCCGGGACCTCATCACACTCTATTGAGCCTTCAGGGAGATGGCTGAGTGGCAGAGGAAGTATTCAGGGACTTGAGTCAAGGCACTAAAGGCAAACACTTTTATTTTTTCATGACATTTTGCAGTCATAACATGTCTTCTTTCAGGATAGGGGAAAGAAAACTTCCAAAATAACAATTTTAGGTGTCAAGTATGATAACTTTGTCTATATGCCTCCGTACATTTCTGATTCATTCTCCAGAAGCAACGGATAATTCCTTTGATCAGCTGGTGATATTCAGTGTCTTTGAGTTAAGTGTAGTGATTAAAACAGAAGTGTCCCTTTGTCACTTTTTTTCAGATGACATTTACTTGACGCTATGTAGACGTCTACTAGCATTTGCCGAGGTACAGTTTACTACTTTAAAATGGAAAATCTGCGTCCAATATCCCATACTTACACGCGGCGTATATGTACACTAAAACAGTATGTGAGATATTTTCACAGGTTTGAAACCTTAAAACTCAAAAGTATGCAAATTGCTGCACGCATTAAGATCAAACAATAATGCTATAGTGAAGATAACATTCATAAAAGACAAACCAAGCATAATATTTATTTTAGATACTTTTTTGGTTTGAAGAAGCTTTTTGTTCTACCTTTTCAAAGCTCAATTAGTTTGCATGGGATTCTGTTGTTATTATAGAGTTTATAGTTTTCTGTTGACATTATTGAAATAAATAGAAAAAATAGAAAGGAAAAAAAGGCAACAACCAAGGCATATAGTATAGAAAACCCTCAAAACGTTCCTCATGCTTGCTGTGCCGTTCTGCAGATGCTTGTAGAGCTCAGCTGAGGGAGGCTTAGGTAATCTGCAATGTTGACTATTAGTGAGAAACGGGCAAAGAGAGAGCAGAAGTGTTGCTAAATGTCTTTCAGTATCATTGTTACCATTGGCTTTCTGCAGTCACATGATATGTTGAAGGTAAAAAGGAAGGGAGAGAAGTGTGGAGAGCTCAGGAACATAAAAGCTTCCGGTGGTCTGATGATGTTGTCGGGGAGGAAAAACTAAACTCTTGATGCATTTTAAGAAAAACAAAGATAATCTCAGGGTTGGCTGGATTAGGAAAGCTTTGAAAGGTGTTTAGGAAGACTGGTCAGGGTTTCCTTTCAACTAATTACTCCGCACAAAACAGGGAATCAACACAAGCAAAGTTTAATTGACCTTGCCCATAGTTTATTTTTACAATAAGCATCCATGCTAACTTGCTAGATGTATCTCCAGTTTACAGATTCATCTCTCACCTGCATCCAGCAGCTTTTTCACCACCAGGAAGTTGGAGTGCGACACGCTGTAGTGTAGCGCCGTGTTGCCGTTTCCGTCGGCCATGTTGACGATGTGACGCAGCACGGCAGGCGAGATGGCCTCGAAGGCCCCCAGGTAGTCCTCCACCATGGCTGACATCGCAGCCTTCTGGCTGGACACACGAAACCACTCGTGCTGCACCGTGTTCAGACAGGCTCTCTGAGGATGCAATCATTTTAATTAACAATGATGGTAAAATATGAAGGTCGCCCGTCATTTTGACAGGATACAACTCTAACTGGCCTGATCTGAATCCTGTGTTGACCTTTAAAGTGGACATTCAAAAAAATCTCTATAGAAGCATTAAATATAAAACTTTTTTTAAGATTGACATTCTATACAGCCATGTTGCAGTATTAATTACCCTTCCCATAACAATGATGAACTACAAGAACAAACGTCTGATCTAGTTATCTTGCTAAAAGAAAGTTAAAACATCAGTATTAAAACCCCAAAAAGCATAATAGGGACCCTTTTTTAAATATCGTTAAATGTTATTCTTCAGCTTCATGTAGGGTACTGAAATACGCTAAAGAAAACCTGCTCACCAGATCTTTACTGCTCACAGCTTTGGGGTCACTGTGGTGAGTTTTGAGAATGTTGCTCGCAGCCAGCAGTTTCTCACTTAGCTCATACCTTTGGAGTAACAAGTCACAATTAAACACTCAAATATCGTCAATACCATTTCATTCACACCTTATATAACTAATAACTGATGCAAATGAAAAAAAGTCCCACATTAATATGACCGAAAAAGTACAGCTGCAGCTGGTTTCATCAAATCATGAAGCAGTTGTAAGGTTGAACTTATGAATGATCATTAATGATCTTTATCTACTGTGTGTGAGCTGACACATGTTCAACAGTTTAGTTTTTATTCTGTTTCAATTATGTAGTAATCAGAAGTTTACTTCCTAGCTTCAGTAAACTCCTATATTATAAATACAGAAATATTCTTCTTATTTAGGATCTCTTTTTTTAAATCATCGTCTGATATAATAACCAAAATAATGAACACAGTTTTATGATAAAAAACACACTTAAACGCTCAGTTAGTATCCAGCAGTTGTGAGAATATATTCCTTCAACTCTTGAAAATCAAAGCTTTAACATTGAAACAATCAAAAACTGTTCATTTTAGAGGAATTGTTCATCAACCCACCTCTCTCTCAACTCCTGCTTCTCTGAACTTTCCTCTTCCTCCTTTTGCTTCTTCACGTCCTCTGCTCCCTCAGGCTGAAACTCCTCCCTAGTGCTCTTTCCCTCCACGTTCTGAAATCCCTCCGGCTTTTCTCCAAACTCTTTCTCCTCATCTTCTTCCTCTTCCTCATCCTCTTCATCCGAACCTGAGGAGCTGCTGTCCTCTGAGCTGGAGTCGTCACTTGATGTAGTCTCATACCTGCATCGCCACAAGGGGGCGACCAAAGAGCAGACATTTATAGACTGCACTTTGATTTCATGATGTTTGGACCTCCGCTTGTATATTAACAAGCTCAGGTTTAAAGGGAAAGAACATAAACACAACAGCCTCATAAACATTTATAACAAAACCACTTTTAGCCTCAGTTAAATACTTGAAAACACTACCAAATAACCATGTTAAAAACAGGCCCCCAAAATGTGAAAGATAATGTACGTAAGAGAGAGTATATTATGACTCACCCTCCGTTCACGCCGACAAACTGCAGGTTCTTCTTGGTGCCGTTGGAGTCGGGTCGGCCATCTTTCTTCTTCATGATGGATTTCAGGGTGTTTTGGCTGCATGGCTGCCCTGAAGACGAGAGAAAAACAAGATTACATTAGAAGTGATCACAAAATGCCCAATAAATATAATATCTGGACTTTATGGATGGAGTCTGTCTTAGTTTTAGAGTCAGCTGATTCTAATATGAGGACAGCTGTTCATTTAGCCAGGTGTTACATGTTAACTGCTTCTAAAAGAAGAAGTGAAGGTGTTCATGTCTATGGCAGATAGATGGACAGAAACTTTATTTTTCCCTGTAAGGAACATTTTCATGTCCCAGCAGCAGTACACAAACGCAGACTGAGCTAAGAATAGAGCAAATAAATATCACACCATAGAAAGAAAATGAAAGCATGCATAGAGTTTAAAATAGATGTAATGCTAAGTTATAAGTCTGAACTTTTGTTTCTTTTCCCTGCATTTTCTCTTCTTGTTTTATTGCATGTTGGACATGATAATCCTCCTTATAAAATCTCCTTCAACATGATGTGTCTCCTGCAGTTAAGAGAAGCACAAAGTAACTAACAAGCCTGCTCAGTTCATGTACAAATGGCCTGATAACGCCTGAATGATCTACTAAAGATTCTCTGACATGATCAAGAGCTTTGGCAGAGAGGGAAGTAGCAATTAAGTGTCCGTCTCACGCTTTTTCCAAAGCACTCTGTCAGCGAGGAGCTGGAAGTTGCCCCAAACCCTGAAAGTATCTCAGTCGTTGTAAACACAGGCCTAAAAAAAAAAAAAAAAATACCAGCCGAGAGCCAGGAACTCTCAGCACATCTGCCAAGACTTGCCCCTGATGAAGGGGCCTCTTTTACTGCTCCAGGGGACATATGAGTGTGTGTGTGTGTGTGTGTGTGTGTGTGTGTGTGTGTGTGTGTGTGTGTGTGTGTGTGTGTGTATGTGTGTGTGTGTGTGTGTCTTAAAGTATCAACATGCATGCAGTGCTTGAAAACACTACGCAGTGGCGTATGTCTACAGTGGCATGTGCACTCAGTCAGTAGCAACATTCGGCACGTTTCCCGTGTGTTGACAGGTGGAAGCTCGTGATGTGTTGCCTGGTGTATAATGCCGAACTATCACATTTTCTCAAGTACTGTACTTTTTTGCAGTACTTACGTAATTCTATTTCATGCTTATTAAAATTATACTCTACTACATTTCAGAGTCAAATACTATACTCCTTACTCAAATACTTTTGTTTGATAACTTTGGTTACTTTGCATCTTCAGAATATCATTATAAATTAAATAATACGTTGGAATGTCATGAGTTAATCTACACACCAGCATAGAAAGTAAAGAAGACCATTTAAGTGATGTAATTCATAATTATGAAGTCACTTTTTTATAATCCAGAAATGTAAAATATATGATACTAAATGAAAATAGGCTCAAAAATATATAATATAAATTAAGCATGTTTCAAAGGACAATCAGGTTAATCATTAAGCCATCTAGTTTAGTCATGTTCCTCTTCTGGATAGAAGTTACCGGAAAAAAAACCCATCTCAATCAAATGTGATATTTTCACTTCCCCAAAGAAGAAATGCTTTTTAAGCAAGCTAACCACAGCTTTACAAATGGCCCTAACCCTAACCCATTTAAGAAACAGCCTTTGTGCATGAACATCCGATTTACAAACCATATTAAAAGCCTTCATCCCTACATTTGTTGGCTCAGCACAGCAGCACACTGGCAGCAAACATTAAACAATGAGCAGTTTGATCACAAAAATGCGTCCAAACAAGCGTACCATTTAGCGCTGTAGACATCTGGAGGTCCATACGGCTCTTCTGCTCCGCTGCACTGATCTGCTGCTGTGCAGGTGTGTCTGCAGGAGTCAGGTCCGATGGAGTCTTCTCCATGTGTGACTGGAGCTGCTGACTGCTCTCTGAAAAAGGAGGAGCGGTAGACCAGTCAGTTTCCAAATGCAAAGGACAGCACAGAAAATGTAAGGTGATAAAAAAAAAGTTTCTTAACACTGCAACAGTTTTTCCTGAAATATGGACATGTTGTATTGGCAAAAAAGTAAGTAAAAAGTATAACTTGTTTTACTTTACAAAAATAATCCATACTTCAGAGAATGAATCTGTTTATCGCACCTTACTGCTATGTTTTTAGCTATGAGCTAACTCCTTCATAATTTGTTAAGTAGATCCTTTACTACATGCATCACATTACTTCCGATCATTTTATATCTGTAGCTTTGTCGCGGTCCTGTGGGAGCTCTGTCTTCTGATTTGTAGTTGTGTATTTTCCTGCTTTTAAATAGTTAATTATGCCTAACAAGTTGGAGAGTTTAACACTTTGTCTTTTAGCTTATCACAAACATTCAACAACAACAAATGTGAAGTTACAAGGTTTATTCTCTGAACAGGAACGGTATAACATTTTTTTTATTAGAAAACTACCTAAAGCTTTCAGACATAGAGGAATAACTTGTTTCTGAAGTCTAGTAGAGTATAATATTTAGGTTGAAATATAGAAATACATATCTGAAGTACCTCAAATATGAACTACATTACTTGAAAAGATGTCCTTACATTCCATTTTTTAAAATGGTTTCCATTTAGTTTAAGTGCAGCACTGAACACAATTAACCAAAAATAATTTACGTGACCAGAAACCATGTCTGTTTAGTCCTCCTACATTCCAAAACAGCCCTCATACAACACAAGACAATCACCTCGCGTTCCTGTGCCCGCCAGCATGAATGCATGTTATGTAACTCAGAAGGAGCCATGAATCAGCAACAACAGTGAGGTGTTAGTGAGGGCGGAGCGGCCTGCAAAAACAACAAGAGAACGATTGGAGGCGCGTTGACTGGTTCCCAAAAAGAAATGAGCTCATTGTTGGGTCACGTCCAAATCCCCCGCCGCATATTTCAGGGTCAGAGATAACTTAGCCTGTCCAATCCAATCAGGGTTCTCTGTAGACGGTGTGTGAACGCTCCACAAAGCTCTTCTACTTCAGACTAGAGCCTCGACAGCGGAGACTGTGCTGAACTACATCCTAATTTGTCAGTACATTATCTAGACTTATGCTTATTTTCCTACGACAGCCTTGCAATACATGCATTTATTTCATACATGAAATTAGAGCAAAACGTTTTAAGGCAAATTGGAAATTGTATTTTTATATTATTGGAAGTATTTTATTCCATTTTAGTTTTCTATTCATTCCGATTTTATTTGCTTTATTAAAGACCACAAAACATTTCATTATTTGACTGCCATATATATATATATTTCTAATGGCGCTAGATTCAGCCACGTTTTGGATTTCTGTTAAAAAAGGCTCCCTTTTTAATAAGGGCGTCATTAGCCAAGAAATGCAACAATAAATGGAGAAGAAGAACACTGTGGGCTAGTTTAATGTAAACAAAAGTGTATATAAATGATTAAAACCGTTGTAACTTTAGTTTCTTTACAAGAAAACTCCACAGGCAACTTTAAGTGCTTCTATATTTAAAAACACTTAAGAGGTACTTAAGTGTAATAGAGATGTTTTACTCAGGAGTAATCGCTCTTTCCCGAAAACACAGTGCACACCACAGAATGCTACTAAACAACGTTTAGTTTCTAAGCTTACTATACATGTATAACCTAAACATGTTTAATTGTAATCAAAGAGACAAAACTATGTAACTAGTTTGATCTAGTATCCTTCTGGATTCCACCCAATTATCACAATAACTATTTATATTTATGCAAAATATTTGAGTATTTGGAGCCATTAGCATCCTCTGAGCCCAATGCAGTTAACCACTCACCTTCATTCGAGTTCACAGAGTCCGACTGCTGCTTGAGGATGTCCTCTGCGCTTCCATGCTTCATCACCACGTTGATGGACGAGAGCGTGCTGACCAGCTGACTGTTGATGGATCCAAACTGGGATTGGGGCTGACCAAAAGCGTCAGCAAGCTCGCTGTAGTTCTCCGCCAGCAGCATCTGTTGCTCCTGTAACAGATGCTGAACCCTCTCGATGTAATGGTCCAGTCCGGCGCCCCCCTGGGCCTGAGCTTGCGGTGGTGCAGCCTCAGTCTCCACCTCTGCAGTCTCTTTGCTGCTGCTCGTGACACATTCAGGTCCCTGGGATGGGCCGCATGCAATGTTCCTCGTTTTTAATCCAACCAAGAAGTTTTCATGGATGCTAACTGGTCCAACCCCAAATTCTTTGGTTTTAGTAGAGCTCGATCGGCCAACAAATGACTCCTCGTCCGTGGTGGTTCCAACAGCAACTGAGCGCATCTTTACCGTTGAGTGAACATCTTTGATTAGACCCTCCCCGGCAGCAACTGTCCTCGTCTCATACACAGTCGTGTTGGTGTTTTTGTCACATGTGATCAACCCCATATCAGTGAAAGAGTCGGTCAGGACAGCTGTCTTTGTATTGGTGGATTTGCTCACTACTTCCGTCTCAGTATTGGTCTGCTGAGTTGCTGACTCAGGAGCGGCCATGACACCAGAGTCCACTTTGAGCAAGTAATCTGGGTCTGTTCCTTGCGACACCAGCGTCTTAATGGGACTAACGATCACATCTACTGAACAATCCCCACAGCCGACGGACCTCGACTCTTTGCTCAACTCCGTCATGGGTTTACAGAGAGCCAAGCTATCTACTGATTCCTCCGTGTTAACACCCACCTCGCAAACATTCATCTCCACGCCAACTAGCTGGTGGCAGGTCTCCACCCATCTCCCGACACATTTGTCTTTTACCTCCACACTCTCACGCACCACCCACCGGTCCATGGGGATCTCTGGGCCTGTGGCAACACTCTGCACACTGAGTTGACAGGACACTCCTATAGTGTGGGTTTGTAGAGTTCTAGCTGTGTTTGCATTACTGAGCTCCAGATGGTCACCCACTCCCTGGCTGCGCATCTGGACTTTGGCCTCCACACACGCGTTGTACATCTCTGGCCTGGCCATCGAACCTTTGTCCGCTTTCTTCTTGTTGGACCCACCGGCCGCTTGGAGCTCCAGTTTAAGCTTCCCCATTTCTATTTGGTGAGTACTTTCTTTCAGCTGCACCTCCAGGCGGTAGATCTTCTCCTTCAGTGATTCGATGGTCTGCTGCTGGAGCTCGATCTCCCTTTCAGCTTCACTGGTCATGCCCAGCATGGCCTCGGTCACGCCAACAGCAGCACTGCGCATTTCCTGCGGCTCCGTTGATACTCCGACATCCTGGAAACAATGTGCATTTGTCCTCCGACTGAGAGGAAGGTTGTTCATATTTTCATCAGTAACTATGCCAATGGACTTGCTTTGCTTGAGCTTATGAGGCTGAATTTCAGTTATATTATTATCCAGGGTTGTCTTCTCCAGAGCTTGGACCTCAGAAGCCAGACGTCTGAACTCCTCCAGCCGCTGAGCGCTTTGTTCCTGGGCTTCAGGCTCCATGATGTGCAACTCCGTTTCCTTTTGGATGAGTCCCGGGTTCTCCATTTGGTCAGCGCTGCCTACACTGTAGGAGCGCTTGCGAAAGCCACCAGGACCTGGATTTTTGGACTGAGCAGCCAATTGTCTTTTCTCTTCCTGAAGAACAGCAATCTTAACCTGTAAGATAGGAATGGTTTTAACCTGCTCCTCTAGCTCCTTTAGCTTCTTTAAGGCCACAACCATCTGCTCCCGGATTTGTTGTAGGTGTAATGGGCTGACGTTTGTCACAGGCGTGGCCATGCCGGAGCTCATGGGGCTGTGGCGAATGGAGCTGCCCATGGATTGCGTGTAGTAGTTATTATAATCTCCATTGGGGAAGTTTCCGTTGATGGGGAGAGGATGATGGGTGCTGGGAGAGATTTGGCTTGTGGCAATGGAGCCTGAGTAAGAGGAAAGCGAGCTGTTGGATCCCATGCCACCGAAGCTGGCGAGACGGCGGCGCGGCATCGGAGGATCGCTGTGCGGCTGCATGAGCAGACGCTCCTGCTCAAGACGAAATCGCGTCTCCATGAGGGTTTTTTCCACCTGGGGGTTGTGACGAGGGGCAAACCTTGGCGAAGGAGGTGGCAGTAACAGCTTCTGATCTGTGATGCCCAAATAAGATTGCTGCAGGGGGACTTCACAAGTTGCTCTGGAGAAGGTTGGGGTGAGCGGTGCAGTGACCTGGGGCCTGGAGTTGAAGAAGACTGGGGACTGCTTGCCGTCGCTGTTGGACGAGGAAAGGGAGTCCGTGGAGGTCCATTCAGCCTGGGTGCTGCCCCCACCAGTGCTGCCCCGAGGCACCGCCAAGGGTTTGGCCACTTTCGGCTTCCTCTGGATACTCAGCTTCCTAATGGTGTTGCCCCTCTCAATGTCATCGACATATTTGAGGAAGTCAAGGTCTAGCTGATAACCATAGGGAGTTTCAACATAGTAGGGGGCCACAGAGTCCTTCTCGGTCTCTGTGCTTGGGCATCTTTGTCCTCTTTCTGAAACGGAGAGCAAAAGGCCAACAAATTAGTAGATTGTTCAGATTTTTGGAAAACAAAACATCTCTATCTATAAAAAAAGAAACCATCACAAGAATTTCCAAAGGATGCAGTGTTTGCACTGAAACAACTCGTGTGTCAGGCAAAGCGTTTCCTCGGCCACTAACAATTGCCATAATTTCACAGTGCAAGCACAAACACGTCTGAAGTTATTCACATCCCTGCTTTAAAAGCATGAGTGATAATCATTTTGGCAAGGGGGTGCTTTAAGTCAGCCCAAAACTATGAGATGCAACTATGTGAAGCAAACACCAAACAGCAAGTAGAGTAGTAAACTTCAAAAAAACTAAAACAAATGTTGGTTTTCCTTTTTTTAATTTAGTCTGATGAGGTTTGTAGAAAGCTTACGACATTTTGAGTGTCGTTTACAAAGCTTATATAAGAGAAGAGCCTAAGGGGTCAGCTGAACAGACAATGTCAATACTTTGGGGTCCAAAATCCAACGGTGTCAACATTAGAGCTTTTCCAGACACATAAACTATATCACTTTCAAATGTTTAGCACAGTTTCAAGACAGAAGTAAAAATAAATTACAATTGATTTCTTTAGTTCATACACTTTGTACAGATCTGACAAAGCAACTTAAAGTCCAAACTCCACCGTCAGATAAAGTCTAAAGTGCCAGTCAGCTTTCCAGGCCATTAACAGACTCCACTACATTCACACTGGACTGGCTAAATGCAGCGTCTTGTTCTTGGTATGCCTGGAACTCTCACTGACTAAAGCAAACACAGGCTGGAAATAAACAGCCCGGCTCTTTCTCTCCAGTAGGCTACTTCTTGTCCTTGTCAATCCGTTCCATTCAACTAAAAGAGATAGTGAATTACAAGCCTTAAGCCTACTGCTAAAACCCCAATGCCTTGTTGTTCAAACTGCACTCACCTCAGACAAGCAGAACTCTCTCCATTTTTTTTACTTTTCCTTCTTCTTCACTTCTCCTCTCTGGACAAGATTTAACAGAACTGCTGTTTCTTCTCACTCTGTGCACTCTCTCAATGCTCTCTCCGTAAAGGGGGCGAGAAATGTTCCACTATTGGTGTAAACTAAGGCACAGCTCTGCTCTGCCGCACTATTGGACAGCTGCCTCCTCCAATCCTGTGAAGCTCCGAGCCCAGCACTTCCCTATCCAAGTAAGAGTGCTGTTATTCAGTTGGAGGGGAGGTGAACTCATGACAATAACAGCCTGTTGTAAAGACAAATAGCTCAGCTACATGTCAAACTTATATACTCTGGTTTATAACCTGCAGAACACATCCTCACTGGATTGTTACTTTCTCTTATTTGCAAGTTTGGTACTTACTAACAAGCAATGTATCACATTGGATTGTAGAAGATAAAGGTTGTTTATTAATGTATTACATTCTATAGGAAAACAAATAATAATTAACTAATGGTTCAGTCAAAAATAAAAAATATGTAATCTTAAAAGTAATTTAATCTAAAGTAATCTCAATTTGTATGACTATTAATGCCAGCTTGTGTGAAAACAAGGTTTGTCTTTATTTTTATAAACATTGAGGAAGCTTAAGTGTACTCCTTGGGGCAAAGCGCCAGGATTGTTTACTTCTAGACGGATGTGAAATACACTTCCTGCTTTTTTGTCAGGTATAAATACTATGTGAGGCAGCACAGTCACAGGCTTGTGCTGTCTGGTGGTCCCTCAACCCTCCCGGCACGAGTTGCTGAGCGCCCACGTCACAGGAGTGACAGGCGGTCCTCTGGTACCAACAAGACCCCGAACAGCTGAGCGATGACTTCATCAACACGGGACAACTGAAAGGGTCAGCTTTAGTGAGGGGATGAGAGCCCTGGAGTCTGCTCCTGGTATCAGCAGCTGTTACATTGTCCATTTCCCAGGGATTACACAGCAGTAAGACAGGCAGCAGTGCCAAGTGGCACACTTGACTTTCCTCCATTCAAAAACGGTTACTATTTTTGTGAGAAATAAAATGTGATATCTTTAAATCATTTCCCAAGGTTCATCAGCAAATGTTTCCACAGTAATTCAATATATATGATTCTGAAACAGCCTTTCTACATAATTAGTGTGTTTTGTGTACTTAAAGTGTGTTTTGATCCCAATAGTATATATTTACTGAGTAAAGACTTTGAATGCAAGACATTGCGTATTTTTTACTACATAAAAGATCTGATTACATTTTTAACCACATTCTTTTTTGCCACACCTAGGAAGCTATTTTGCCCATGGATAATCGATGTATTGACAGACTGATCAATAAAGAGTAAGTTGCTAACCTGGTTAGTTGCTTTTTATACCGGTTTTGTTAACAAACAAGCTGGGGAAAATACCGAACAGAGACTTTTTAAATGAGTGAACTAAATATTATACAAGTCAACAACTTCATACACAGCTTACCAACACTGCTCTACTTATCTCAGATGGGATATTAAAGTATTTCAGCCTCATTATTTAACGTTAGCGGTACATTTATTCCTCAAAGCTCTCAGGTGATCGTCAAAGAAAATGTGGCTGTTAAAGTTCACACGCATGTTTTCAGCAGCTACTTCTTGCATGTCTTCCACAGAGTATTTCTACTAAAAAGTCATTTAAAATGTGATATCCGAAACAAAGCACGGTCTATTATTCACACTACATTTTGATCTACATTCACCAGATAAGTGATCGTAAATTCCCTTCAAGCATTTGTTGCTTCTCATGAAATGCTGTACGGTACATGAAAATACTCTCAAACTCTCTTTTCAATACATTTAAGAGCATGAACTCTCCCTGTGTTTGCTCTCAAACACTGCAATGAAAGCCAACTTTCTTTGGGCATTGTTGTTCAAATATGTGAGGAAAAATATAAAACCAGGGCTTGGGCTTATTTTGCACTTGTAAAAAGCTACATTTAGATCTACCGAAAGCCTTTTAACATCGGCAGTGTGCCCAGAGACAGCGCAATTGAAAATACTGTTCTAAATGTGTCTGCAAGTTCTTGTTACCAAACCGGTGCATAGAAATCTGTATCTTTCTTTTGGTTTAGATACTACAAACTAGGGCTGTGCGATTATGGCAAAAATCATAATCACGATTATTTGGTCAATAATTGATATCACGATTATTTTGACGATTATTCATTGACCATTTATTGAACTTTAAAACAAATAATATTTTACCAATAAACAAGATCAATAAATGTGTTGGAGCGCACTTCCAAAACCATACTAAACATATATTATTAATATGATAAATAAAAATAAATTAGACCAAAATAAATGAAATCAAATATGTTGCAGTGCACTGTCACAACCTACTGAAAACTCCTTAACATATAGCCAACATTTTGGTAAAACATATTCAACATATTCCACTCAGTTAAACGTTGAAGGCTGGCCAACCGTCATGGTCCAGAAGTAACAGGAAATAAATGTTGAACTACAATTTAAGACCAAATAAAAATGTTTAGGCCACCATGGCAAATGCTGGTAGGGCTGCTCATGTCATCTCTTAAAGATTTTTTGCAAGAAATACCAGCCTGTTTACATGGTCTGGTTTCAGAGATGAGCGCAGGCAGGTGACAATATTGCCACCTGTACTGAAGACCCTCTCTGAAGAGGAACTTGTGGCAGTGCTGCCACATATGACACAGGAAAAAAAGAAAAGACTCTGAAGAACCCTTTCTTTGCCATTATATAAAAATAGTGTTGCTACAAAAGTATAAATTAGGCTTACTAATAAGACAACTCAGATCTGAAGCTACACAGTAATCTGCTGCAGCAACAGTGCAATAAAAAAGACAACATTAATAGAATCAAACCCATTTTTTGTTGCATTTTATTAGAGTATACAAATAAATGCCTTTAAAATAGGATGCAAGCAACACTAGTTTCTGAACTGATAGACTATAATCAATTTAAACAGAACAGATCTTAATGTTTGCATTCTTATACCATTTTGTACAATAATTATCATGAATAAATTCAAACAAACTAAAACTTACAGCAGATTAATAACGGTATCTAAATTGAGTTTTTATTATATCAAAAACCTGTTGAAATGCTACTGTCCCACAAAAGCGCGTCGCAGCCTCCAGGAAAGCTTCTTTCATAACTTCGCCGTCTTCGAAAGACTTCATGTGTTTCGCAAGAACGTGACTGACACGATAAGATGCTCTGGGAGCAGCCTTGCTCTTGTTGTTGGGCCTGGTGAAAATGGACTGCTGTGCATTTAGCTGTCCTTTCAGGCCCCTCCCCTTTTGGAGCGTAGGGCAGAATTAGGAGGGAATTCCGTCTCGTAGCGTTTGTGCACTGTTTTGAAATGCCGCTCCTAAATTACCCTTCTTCGATAAAGCCACGCTCGCATTGCAGATGAGACAGATGGACTTTGAATTGGAATAGATACAAAAATAATGATCCTCCCACTTGGAGTGAAAATTATATATTTTGGGCTTTTTTGCTTCTGCCATAATTGCGGTCTTGTGTGTGTGCGGAATGTCACTCCTGTTGACCATCCATGCTGTTGACACGGACAACGTCAGCGAACTAGTGCACTGCTCACCAGCCACGCCCGGACATATGGGGTGAGGCCGGCCAATCACAAAGCTTTGATGCGTTCAAGTGCATTATTCTGGCACGGGAACATTATGTTACAGGACATTAACGATAAAACAGAATATTGTTGTTCTATTTTTAGACACATCTCGCGATCGACTGGGAATCTCCCCGCGACCCTTCTTTTTAACTAGTTGCTGCTCTTGTTCTGACATCTTCGCTTGCGCTGAACACTCACAACACATGTCACTCCCACGTGGCCGAGTGGGCTTTTAGGGAGGGGCGAAAGCGCACCCAGCAAAATAATCGTATTTTGTCAATTATGCTGTTTTCCTAATCGTCGCAAGCCATAATCGTAATCGCGATTAAAATACGATTAATTGCACAGCCCTACTAAAAACCATGCTGCATCTTCGGACTTTACATCC